CCCTCTCCCCGACGGGGCTGCTCTCCCTCTGGAGCGGGGGCCGGGGGCGCCCGGGGTGAGTTCGGGAAATGTTTAACCAGACGCAGCAGGCTCAGGACCAAGTGGACAGCTCTGTGTGGCCCGGCAATGACATCGTAAACACCCAGATGGCCCTGGGCAGAGAGAAGGTTCCCGACGGACGGACGGACGGACGGACGGCCGGGACCTGGGGTCCCGACTCTCCGTCTTTGGCTTCTGTTGCGCGGCGAGGGGAGGGTTGGAGGGGAGCAGCCCGCTCTGTGCCCGTGCGGCTCCCCCAGGCCCGAGGGAACGTGCTTGCATAAATCAGGAAAAAGCTCTTCTCCCTGGGGAGTTCAGAGACTTTCCAGAAGGTTCTCTGGCCAGCCCACAGAGGGCCCCAGGCCTCGTCCGGGCCGGGAACAGTCATGCGTGTTGCCGTTAGCTCTGGGGAAGACGGACACACAGACTCCCTGAACTTAGGCGTCTTCCTGGCGCCTGCCTGCTTGGCGTCTCTGAGCTTCGCTTTCAAATCTCTTAAAACCAGAAAAAATACCCGTTGCTTCTCAGCGTCACTGTCGTACAGGGGATGATGTGTTTACTGTCCCGTGGGCTTCTCTGGGCTTCCTCACGGAGACACGGGGCCCAGACACATGTGCTCAGTGGACAGAGCGTCGGCCTGCGGACTGAAGGGTCCCGGGTTCGATTCCCGTCAAGGGCATGTACCTTGGTTACGGGCACATCCCCCAGTTGGGGGTGTGCAAGAGGCAGCTGATCGATGATTCTTTCTCATCGATGTTTCTAACTCTCTGTCCCTCTCTCTTCCACTCTGTAAAAAATCAATAAAATATATTTTTTTTTTAAAAAGAGAGAGAGAGAACACTTGGGCCTTTGGAGAGAAATAGTTTGGCACCGGCGCCAAAGTTCTGTTCACGAGGGCAGCTCCGGAGGCTGGCTCTCTGGCCAGCTCAGGGGCCATGGAGCTCGGTCCCTCTCTCTGGTGGCCTGTCTGTGGTCCCAGCTGTCCCAGGAGGAGGCAGGAGAGGTGGGCCCAGCCACCAAGGAAGGGAAGGGAGGCGACCGCCCTGGCCTGGTTCCGGCCCTCCTTCGTACAGAGGCAGGCCTGTCCCCCAGGCCCGTGGTCGGCAAACTGCGGCTCACGAGCCACAGGCGGCTCTTTGGCCCCTTGAGTGTGGCTCTTCCAACAAAACACCACGGCCTGGGCGAGTCTATGTGGAAGACGTGGCGTGAGAAGTTGAAGTTTAAACAGTGTGGCTCTCCAGAGACATGTCCGTCGTGGTGCTGTTGATGTTGGGCTCTGTGGGTGGATGAGTTTGCCGACCTCTGATCTAGGCCGTGGTGCCGCTCTGCCCGTTTCGGAGTTGCCCCGGGACCTATGACTGAATGCCGGGAGGACGCAGGGCCTTCTGTGGCTTATTCCTTTGTGCAACCGAGACATGGCGGCAGGCACACTACCCTCCCTCCAGCCCCCTCCTCCCCCCAAGATACTGGCAGCCTGCAGCATTCTGAGGACCCCTGGCCCTGGTCTTTTTTTTAAAAAAAATTATTTAATATATTTTTATTGATTTCAGAGAGGGAGGGGGAGAGAGAGAGGGACATCAAAGAGGAGAGAGAATCATGGATCAGCTGCCTCCTGCGCACCCCCTACTGGGGATGGAGCCCACAACCCGGGCCTGTGCCCTTGACCAGGAATCCAACGGTGACCTCCTGGTTCCCAGGTCAACGCTCAACCACTGAACCACACGGTCCGGGCTGCCTGGACTCCAGGGCTGTCCCCCCCGAAGCATCAGCCCTTTCGCTACTTCTCGCCCAGGCTAGAAGGTGGCTCTGAGCCAGGGCCCAGCCAGCAGCCCATCCTGTTTGTTGCTCACGATGGAGGAGGGAGCACGCTGGAGGACCAGCTGGCCTGGGGAGAGGAGAGGGGGAAGGGGAGGAGGGGCAGAGCGTGGTGGATGGTGGGAAAGGAATCTAATAGGCGGATTATATGGCCACTCCTATTATCCCTGCTCGGAGGACTGCCAAATACTGAAATGCCCCAGGCCGTCCTGTGTTTTCCTCGTAGGCGGTGAGCTGTGCTCCGCTCGGGTTGTGTTTCCTGGTCACTGGGGACCAGCGGAAACCCTGACGGTTCCTATTGTCAGTGGCAGAACACAAGCTGGACGGGATGGCCATGTGAGCCCTTCAGGGCGGGGAGAGGCTGGCCCAGCTTGTGTTCCACAGCTCAGAGCTGGAAGGTATGAGAATGAGTTTATGAGAGAGGGACAGAGAGTCAGAAACATCAATGAGAGAGAATCATCCGTCAGCTGCCTCCTGCACACCCTCTACCGGGGATGTGCCCGTAACCAAGGCACATGCCCCCGACCGGAATCGAACCTGGGACCTTTCAGTCCGCAGGCCGACGCTCTATCCACTGAGCCACACCGGTTTCGGCCATCATTGATGTTTCTATCCCTTTCTCCCTCTCCCTTCCTCTCTGAAATCAATACTAAATAAATAAATATATATATATTTTAAAGTATAGTATAGTATAGTAAATGCATAAACTAGTAACAGGGTCATTTATCCTTATCCAGTATTATGTGTCGTACATAATTCTATGTGCTGTATTTTTTAAAATATATATATACATTATTGATTTTTTTTTTTTTTTACAAAGAGGAAGGGAGAGGGATAGAGAGTTAGAAACATCGACCAGCTACCTCCTGCACACCCCCAACCGGGGATGTGCCCACAACCAAGGTACATGCCCTTGACCGGAATCGAACCTGGGACCCTTCAATCTGCAGGCCGACGCTCTATCCACTGAGCCAAGCCGGCCAGGGTGGCACCCACATTTTGATCACATGATGAGAGAGAATCATCGATTGACTGCCTCCTGCACGAGCGCGCGCCCCGCACCCCACCCCACCCCCAAAATCAGAGGTCAAGCCCACAACCCAGACATGGGCCCTGACCGGGAATCGAACCGTGAACCCCTGGTTGCTTGGTCAGCGCTCGACCCCTGAGCCACGCTGGCCGGGCTGGATCTCCTGCATCCTCTCCCGTTCTCTCTGGGCCTGGGGTTCCGTTAGCCGCCCCCCAAAGACCAGGGCGAGAACCCCACGGCACACGGTTAGACTGACGGAGGCGGCAGGACCGTGCAACCGTCCGAAGACCTTGGCACGGGAGGCCAGCCCTACCTCCGGCGTCCCCGCTGGGCGTCCCGCTCCGCGTCCCGCTCCTTCCCAGGGAGATGGTCATGGCCGGGCGGCGGCTCCCACACAGACCGGGCAGCGCTGGGGTCCTCCTGCCCAGAAAGAGAACGTTGGTCACTGCCGAGACCGGTGTGGCTCAGTGGATAGAGCGTCAGCCTGCGGACTGAAGGGCCCCAGGTTCGATTCCGGTCAAGGGCATGGACCTTGGTTGCAGGCACATCCCCAGGGGGGAGTGTGCAGGAGGCAGCTGGTTGAAGATTCCCTCTCATCCATGTTTCTAACTCTCTACCCTTCTCCCTTCCTCTCTCTAAAAAATCAATAAAATATATTTTTAAAAAATAATAATAAATAAATAAATAAAGAGCCGAAACCGGTGTGGCTCAGTGGATAGAGCGTTGGCCTGCGGACTGAAGGGCCCCAGGTTCGATTCCGGTCAAGGGCATGGACCTTGGTTGCAGGCACATCCCCAGTAGTGGGTGTGCAGGAGGCAGCTGATCCATGTTTCTCTCTCATCGATGTTTCTATCTCTCTACCCCTCTCCCTTCCTCTCTGTAAAACATCAATAAAATATATTTTTTTTTAAAAAGAAAAAGGAAGTCGGTCCCTGATCCCACAGGGACGCGGCCCTGGTGCTCCCGTCTCTGTGCCCACGTCAGGCCGGGAGGGTGGCTTGCCAAGCTCACTCGCCACAGACACTGGAGACACTGGAGGCGTGGGCCCTTCTAGATTATTCCTTAGGCTTCCAGACCCCCGGACAGCCCTGCGCGAAGTAGGTCTGTCGTGCCTCCACGCGGGGGGCTGTGCCAGTACCGGCGGAGGGCCACCCCGCGGGCCAGGGCGTGCGCCGGGCCCGGGCAGGGCGGTGGCCAGGACAGACGAGCTCGGCTCGCTGCCTCCCTCCCCTCCGGCACGCTCCCCGCGGTGCTCGGGCCCCGCCCGGCCGGTGGCTGTCAGGAAGGCTAGCGGTGGGTCGGCAGGCCCCGCTCCCTCTTCTCAAAGGGAGGCCTGGCCGGCCCTGGCCGGTGTGGCTCAGTGGATAGAGCACCGGCCGGTGGATCAAAAGGCCCCAGGTTTATTTTTTTATTTATTTATTTTTAAATATATTTTATTGATTTTTCACAGAGAGGAAGAGAGAGGGATAGAGAGTTAGAAACATCGATGAGAAAGAATCATTGATCAGCTGCCTCTTGCACACCCTATACTGGGGATGTGCCCGCAATCAAGGTCCATGCCTTTGACCGGAATCGAACCCGGGACCTTTCAATCCGTAGGCCAACGCTCTATCCACTGAGCCAAACCAGTCCCGGCAAAAGGCCCCCAGGTCAGGGGCACGTGCCCGGGTTGGGGTCTGAGTGGTATGGGGACTTTGGGTGGGCGAGAGGGGAGCGTCCGGGGTTCCAGGGGCTGAGTTTGGGAACCGGAGGCCGGCAGGGTCAGGGTCGGGAAACAGGGCCTTGGATTTGGTGCTGCAGGATGCCGAGGGGCGCCAACCCCAGGGGGTCCTCGCCAGAAAGTCCCGTTTCTGTACCCCTGTTCCCGGCACAGCCCCTGGGGCCCGATGCTCGGATCAGAGGGGCAGCTCTTGGCAGGAGCAAACCTGGGGGTCTCAGCGTGCCCCCCCAGGGTCCTGTGGGGGACAGAGGGCACCTAGGCTGCATCTCCTAGCAGCCCCCCCTACCCCCATGGGCTTGCGGGGAGAGGTCAGGGCCAGGGCTTCTCCCCAGGGCTCGGGGCCGGGCCGGTGGTCCAGGGGGCTGATGGCCTCTTTCCCCCCCTCCCCCAGGCGCCATGTGGCTGGAAATCCTCCTGGCCTCCGTGCTGGGCCTCGCCATCTACTGGTTCGCCTCCCGGGACAAGGAGGAGACCCTGCCGCTCGGAGACGGGTGGTGGGGGCCCGGGGCCAGGCCCACGGCCCCCGAGGATGAGAGCATCCGGCCCTTCAAGGTGGAGACGTCGGACGAGGAGATCAACGTAAGGTCCCGCTTCCCGGCAGAGGCAGGGGCAGAGGGAGGGTTAGGGTTAGGGGCTTGGCAGGGGCAGGGGCAGGGTTAGGGGCCAGGCAGGGGCAGGGGCAGTGGCAGAGGCAGGGGCAGGGTTAGGGCCAAGCAGAGGGAGGGTTGGGGTTAGGGGCTGAGCAGAGGGAAGGTTAGGGTTAGGGAGGAAGGGTTGGGGTTAGGGGCTGGGCAGGGGGAGGGTTAGGGTTAGGAGCTGGACAGAGGGAGGCAGGAAAATCCCCGTTTCCCTGGGACTGGGGGGGAAGGGCCCTGGTGGGAGAGGGGGTGCCCACTGGACCCAGCTTCGCGTCTCACCTCCTCTGTGGCCGGTCCGGAACCCGGGAGGCGCTTACGGGAGAAAGCCAGAGGGGTGTCGTCAGGCCCCGGGCGGAGAGCAGGCCCCGGTGACACCAGGTGCCGAGGCACCCAGCACCTGCGGCAGGCGGGGCCAGCGCTGGTGGACAAAGCACCTACTGTGCGCCAGTCCCTCCGGGTCCCGTCCAGCCCCGCTGGGGTGAGGCCGTGGGGTGAGGCCTGTGTTCTCAGCACAGAGCGGCTGACACGGGAGCTCGGAGAGGGAACACAGTCCAGCCCAGGTGACGGGGATCAGGTGTGGGATTGGGCCCGAGGCCTGCCCAGCTGGGAAGCCTCGTCCACCTCCCGCCTCCCTCCGCGCGGGCTGGGCCGGAGGCAGGAGGGAGTGACCAGCGGGGTGGGCGGGTCCGAGAGGCCGGCCCCCAGCGGCCCCACGAGGCGGGGTGGGGCCTGGGATGTCCCTGCCCATGTTGGCTCTCCTCCTGTGTGGGGCTGGGACCACCTGCTGTGTGCAGGCGAGGCCTTGGGCTTTGCTATTTCTTTTTATTTTATTTTATTTTAAAATATATTTTATTGATTTTGTACAGAGAGGAAGGGAGAAAGAGAGTTAGAAACATCGATGAGAGTCATCGATCAGCTGCCTCTTGCACACCCCCTACTGGGGATGTGCCCGCCACCAAGGTCCATGCCCTTGACCGGAATCGAACCCGGGACCCTTCAGTCCCCAAGCTGACGCTCTATCCACGGAGCCACACCGGTCTCGGCGGGCTTTTCTATTTCTGTCTGTCGTCTCCTACAATCCCGTGGCAGGTGTCATTGCCCCCAGTGTTATGGATTAGTACCCGTGGTGGGCATCCCAGGCTCGGGAGCCACATGCGGCGGCTCTTTGGCCCCTGGAGGGTGGCTCTTCCACAAAACGCCACGGCCTGGGCGCGTCTATGGTGAGGAAGTGGCGTTAGAAGAAGTTTCAGTTAAAACAACGCGGCTCTCCAAAGACATGTCCGCCCGTCGCTGTGCTGTCGATATTGGGCTCTGTGGACTGATGAGTTTCCTAAAGCTCATGTTCTTTACTTATTTAAAAAATATATAATATATATATATTATTTTTTTAATATATATTTTATTGATTTTTACAGAGAGGAAGTGAGAGAGACAGAGAGCTAGAAACGTCGATGAGACCAGCTGCCTCTTGCACGCCCCCTACTGGGGATGTGCCCGCAACCAACGTACATGCCCCTCACTGGAATCGAACCCGGGACCTTTCAGTCCACAGACCGACGCTCTACCACTGAGCCAAACCGGTTTCGGTATATATAATTTTTTTTTTTTATTGACTTGAGAGAGAAAGGGAGAGGGAGAGAGAGAGAGAGAAACACCAACGATGAGAGAGAATCAGGGACCGGCTGCCTCCTGCATGCCTACCACTGAACCAGAGCGAATCCAAACCAGCGGCCTCGGGGGCCCCCTCTGGCTGTGTCCCTGCGGGAGCGTGGGGTTCGCTCTGTCTCTGGAAACACCCCTCCTCTGGGCCCCGCCCACCCGCCCTCTCCCCTGGGCCCCGCGCCTGCTCCAGGACCTGCACCGAAGGATCGAGAAGGCCCGCCTGACCCCACCGCTGGAGGACAGTCGCTTCCATTACGGCTTCAACACCCACTACCTGCAGAAGGTCCTGGCCTACTGGCGGGACGGGTTCGACTGGAGGAAGCAGGTGGCCGAGCTCAACCGGTACCCGCACTTCAAGACCAGGATCGAAGGTGCGTGTCCAGCTCGCCCGTGGACAGGGGGTAGGGGGCGCCGTCACGGGCATGGCCTTCGCCGGCGCCCGACGTGACTCGGACGAGGCTGGGGAGACCCAGCCCCCAGGGTCGGTCGTGGAGATGTTATCTCAAAGTTGTCACAAGCCCTGGCCGGGTTAGCTCAGTGGCTAGGGCGTCGGCCTGTGGACTGAAGGGTCCCGGGTTCGATTCTGGCCAACGGCGCGTGCCTGGGTTGCGGGCTCGATCCCCAGGGTGGCGCGTGCGGGAGGCAGCCGATCCGTGATTCTCTCTCATCATCGACATATCTATTTTTTCAAATATATTTTATTGATTTTTTTTTTTTTACAGAGAGAAAGGGAGAGGGAGAGAGAGCTAGAAACACCGATGAGAGAGAAACATCGACCAGTTGCCTCCCGCACAACCCCCCACTGGGGATGTGCCTGCAACCAAGGGACATGCCCTTGACCGGAATCGAACCCGGGATCTTTCAGTCCACAGGCCGACGCTCTATCTACTGAGCCATACCGGTTTTGCCCTCTAAGCATTTTCTAAAAAAAAAAAAAAAATATGTATTTTTGTTGGTTTCAGAAAGGCAGGGAGAGAGAGAGAGAGAGAAACATCAATGATGAGAATCGTTGATTGGCTGCCTCTTGCATGCCCCCTACTGGCGGGGGTGGGGCGGGGGAGGGGACGGGGCAGAGGAGCTTGGCTGAAGAAGCCAAGTCCTCCTTTGTCTCAGGACCCCTTGCTTTTTATTAACACAATTTGTGCACGCCCGGCCAGAGCTGGTGGTCCCTGCGGTGACCCGTGATCTGCACCCCGGGGTGGGGTGTGGGGAGCCGAGGTGGCAGCACCCGCTGGCTGAGCTCCCCGGCTGCAGGGCCCTGGCCCCCTCGCCCCCCTCCCCTCCCTCCCCCGTGACCGTGGCCCGCCCCCTCCCCCCCCAGGGCTGGACATCCACTTCATCCACGTGAAGCCCCCGCGGCTGCCGGCCGGCCGCTCCGCCAAGCCCCTGCTGATGGTGCACGGCTGGCCCGGCTGCTTCTACGAGTTCTACAACATCATCCCGCTCCTGACGGACCCCGAGAGCCACGGCCTGGGCGGCGAGCACGTGTTCGAGGTCATCTGCCCCTCCATCCCCGGCTACGGCTTCTCGGAGGCGGCCTCCAAGAAGGGTGGGTCTGGGCTGCTGGGCCCGTGGGCCGCCCTCCCCTCCCTTCCCCTCCCCTCCCCTCCCTGGGGCCAGGCGTGCCCACCAGCGATCCTGGGAGGAGCCGGCAGGGGGCCACCGGGCAGCTTCCTCCTGAGCCAGGGGAGGGGGAGGGCACTGCCATCAGGGGAGGGCCCAGGCCTCCTCTCAGGGGCTGAGACGTATGGCGAACCTGACCGACGTGGCTCCGTGGTTGAGCGTTGGCCTATGAACCAGGACAGGGGTCGGCAAACCGGGGCTGGCGAGCCACACGCGGCTCTTTGGCCCCTTGAGTATCTTATTTATTTATTTTTTTTTTTACAGAGAGGAAGAGAGAGGGAGAGAGAGTCAGAAACATCGATGAGAGAGAAACATCGACCAGCTGCCTCCTGCACACCCCGCACTGGGGATGTGCCCGCCACCAAGGTCCATGCCCTTGACCGGCATCGAACCCAGGACCCTTCGGTCCGCAGGCCGACGCTCTATCCATGGAGCCATACCGGTTTCGGCTGGCCCACTGAGTCTTTAGCAAAGGCCCGCTGAGGAGTCCCCTCACTAAGCTAATCACAACGTACCTACCGAGATAGTTTACGTTTAAACAAAACGAAGCTCTCCGAAGAAATTTCCATCGTCGTCCTGTGGATATATTTGGCTCTGCAGACAAATGAGTTTGCCGGTCCCTGAGCCAGGAGGCCAGGGTTCGATTCCCGGTCAGGGCACAGGCCCGGGTTACGGACTCCATCCCCAGTGCTGCTTGGGCCCCAGGATTCCTTTTTTTATTTTATTTATTTTTTTTATTATATTGATCTTTTTTACGAAGAGGAAGAGAGAGGGATAGAGAGTTAGAAACATCGATGAGGGAGAATCGTCAACCAGCTGCCTCCTGCACACCCCCCACTGGGGATGTGCCTGCAACCAAGGCACATGCCCTTGACCGGAATCGAACCCGGGACCCCTCCAGTCCACAGGCCGACGCTCTATCCACTGAGCCACACCGGTTTCGGCGGGGCCCCCGGAATCCTGCCCTCCTCCTGAGCTGCTCTTGGCTAGCCCCGGGGCCCGGGGTGAGGCATGTCCCAGGACATGGGGGGCGACGGCTCCATGACGCTGTCACCCCCACCCCCTGCCCCCCGTTTCCCACGACCAGGCCTGAACTCCGTGGCCACCGCCCGGATCTTCTACAAGCTGATGCTGCGACTGGGCTTCCGGGAATTTTACGCCCAAGGCGGGGACTGGGGGTCCCTGATCTGCACCAACATCGCCCAGCTGGCGCCCAGGTGAGGGGCCTGGGGGAGGCCCAGGGAGGGGTGAGCATGCGTGTGTGGGCACAGCACCCACCGGCCGGCCGTGCAGCTGGCGGGGTGGCTCTCGCCGTCCCCCTCCCACCCCCAGACACGGCGTGGAGCCTCGGGGGTGCTGGGTGCTGAGCCGGGGGAGAGGGGAGGGTTCCCTGGTCCCAGCTGCACCCGGACACTGGGGACCCCGTCCAACCCGGGTTGGTGACCCTGGGCCAGGTGCCCAGGCAGAGAGGCCCACATGGACAAGGCCAAGGTCAGGGACGAGACCGTCCTGATGGGCCCAATCCCCAAAGCAGAATTTTCTAGAGACTATTTTCTCGCCAACCTGGCCACCCCAGCAGCGGGCGGGTGCCGGCGGGGGCTGGCCCTGGGGTCCTCGCCCTCCTCTGCCTCCCCGCTCCCCGCCGCCCCGATGCCCGCTGATGCCCGCCCTGCCCGCCCGCAGCCACGTGAAGGGCCTGCACCTGAACATGGCCTTCGTGGTGCGGGGCCTCCACGCCCTCACCCTGCTCCTGGGGCGGCGCTTCCGGAGGCTCTTCGGCTACACCGAGCGGGACGTGGAGCTCATGTACCCGCTGAGGGAGAAGATGTTCCACAGTCTCCTGCGGGAGAGCGGCTACATGCACATCCAGTGCACCAAGCCCGACACCGTGGGTGCGTGCCCGCCGGGGGCTGCAGGGGGGGAGGGGGGTACGTCTGTTCCCACCGCCGGCTCCCGCCCGGCCTGAGTCCCGCGCCCGCCCCTCCCTCCCCTGCAGGCTGCGCCCTCAATGACTCCCCCGTGGGGCTGGCCGCCTACATCCTGGAGAAGTTTTCCACCTGGACCAGCTCCGACTTCCGGGACCTGGAGGACGGCGGCCTGGAGAGGTGAGAGAGCCCCTGCCCCACCCCACCCAGGGCCCAGCACCCCTCCCCACCCAGCACCTCCTCTCCGTCCTCACTGCGTGGGGCCCCGAGTCAGGGTCCAGGACAGGGGGGCCCTTACAGGCAGGGGGGCCCTGGGTGAGGGTGGGACCCGCTGGAGTGGCAGCTGGAATTGGAGAGCACGGGTTCCTGAGTGGACTCGGGGGGTGCAGGGGGGGCAGGAGGCCACGGGGAGGCCACGGGAGGGGTGAGTGTCGTGGAGGCTGGAGGGAGCGGGGTACAGCGGGTGGTTATTCTGGGGGTGACGGGTGGGGTGGGGAGAGGAGTGTGGGGAAGTGGGGGCCCCCGGAAGGCACAGCCAGGGGGCACCAGGGGACAGGGGAGGCCGAGGAGGGTCCGGGGGGGGGGCCTGGACGCAGGAGGGGTGCAGGAGCCCAGCACCAGGAGAGGGAGGGGCTCTGTGGGGTCACGGTTCGATTCCCGGTCAGGGCACAGGCCTGGGTTGCAGGCTCCACCCCCAGTTGGGAGCGTGCAGGAGGCAGCTGATCCATGATTCTCTCTCATCATGGATGTTTCTCTCTCTCTTTCTCTCCCTCCATTCCTCTCTAAAAATTAATCAAAATATGCTTAACAACAACAAAATGCCAGAACTGCCGAAACCGGTGTGGCTCATTGGATAGAGCATCGGCCTGGGAACTGAAAGGTCCCGGGTTCGATTCCGGTCAAGGGCATGGACCTTGGCTACAGGCATATCCCTGGGAGGGAGGGGGGTGCCGGAGGCAGCTGGTCGATGATTCTCTCTCATCGATGCTTCTAACTCTCTATCCCTCTCTCTTCCTCTCTGTGAAAACTCAGTAAAATATATATTTATTTTTTTTAAATTCCCAGAACTGCTGGTTCTGCTTTCCTGCCCCTGGGGCCAGACTGGGCGGGTCACGGGCTCTGAGGGGCACCTGGAGGTGGGTCGGCTGAGGGCCCGGCAGGGGCGCTGCCGTCTGAGGATGGTGCTGGGCGATGCCTGGACCCCTGGTGGCGACCAGCTCGGGCCCCGGGCTCAGTGACCTCCTGGGTGGAAGCTCAGGGGGTGCGGGGGGGAGGGACGGGCTGACACCCCCGGGAGGACGGCGAGAACCAGCTCCCGGACCCACACGTGGTGGTGGGCACTCCGCATGCGTCCCCGGCCACCGTGGTAGCCGGTGACGCTGGCCTGCCTGTGGTGTGGGGAGGCCCGAGGAAGGAAGCCCGGAGGGCGGGCACGGGGCAGCCGAGAGGGCTGGCGCCGAGGGTCCTCTGCCTCCCAGGAAGTTCTCCCTGGACAGCCTGCTGACCGTCATCATGATCTACTGGACCACGGGCACCATCACCTCTTCCCAGCGCTTCTACAAGGAGAACATGGGGCACAACTTCCTGAGCGAGCCGCACGAGCGGTGAGCCCTCCGGCAGGGGCAGGGGCAGGGGCAGGGGCAGGGGCAGGGGGCGGGGGGCAGGGGCAGGGGGCAGCGGGCGGGGGGCAGGGGGCGGAGGGCAGGGGACAGGGGCAGGGGGCGGGGGCAGTGGGCAGGGGGCGGGGGCAGTGGGCAGGGGGCGGGGGGCAGGGGCAGGGGGCAAGGGGCGGGGGCAAGGGGCAGGGGTGGGGGGCAGGGGGCAGGGGCAGGGGGCGGGCCTGCTCTTGAACCCGGAGGACAGCCCGGCCTGTGTGGCCCTGGGCGGGGAGGGGGAGGTCGGGGTATCGGGGGAATCCCTCGGCCTTTAGAATCGGGGCTCCTGGGGCCAGGGTGCTGGGACGGCCGCACCCCCTTTCCCAGTCTCATCGGGGGGGCCCTGGGGGCAGCAAAGGGGGGGACGACAAGGTGGGGGGTGAGGCTGCCCCACCCACGCTCCGGCCTGGGCAGCCCTTCCAGAACAGCGGGCCCGTCCCCCCTCCAGGATGAAGGTCCACGTGCCCACGGGGTTCGCCGCCTTCCCGAGCGAGCTCCTGCACGTCCCCGAGAAATGGGTCAAGTCCAAGTACCCGAAGCTCGTCTCCTACAACTACATGCCCCGCGGCGGCCACTTCGCCGCCTTCGAGGAGCCCGAGCTGCTGGCCCGCGACCTCGGCCAGTTCGTGGGGCGCGTGGGGCGGCCCTGAGCCCGGGCGCCTGCCGCCCCGGCGAGGCCCCCATCCCCGCCCCGCCCCGCCCAGGGCCCCAGCGCCCGCTGCCGCCGGAGGCGGCCTCGGCCCCCTGTTCCAGGAACGGGTTTGCTCCGGCCCCGCCCGCCCGGACCCCAGGCACATGCCTCCCCCACGGGCACCGCCGCCCCGCACACGCCCGCACACGCCCGCACACGCCCTGCACACGCCTGCACACGGCTTTGAGAATAAAGGATTTTACTTCCAAGAGCGGCTGGGACCGAGTGGCCTGTACATGCCCCGACCACACTGGGGGGCTCCCCTTTCGGGCAGAGCGGGCAGGGCTGCAGCCTGGGCCGATGGAGGGGAGAGAAGGGGGATGCTATCCCCCTGGCCGATGGGGGGGGGGGGCACAGGACGCCCTGCGGGGGCACCAGGACTCTGCCCCGTCCCCTCTGTGCCCGGGCAGCTCAGAGCAGAGGCTGAGGGCTGAGCAACGGTCAAAGTGGGGGGGGGGGGGGGCAGGGTGCCCCAGATCCCACCTGGCCACCAGGCCGAGCCCCCCCCTCTGGGGATGGAGGCAGCCCCCCTGCAACTCCGGCGCCCCCTGGAGGCAGTAGGAAGGCAGTGTCTCCAGCAAGAGCCCCAAATGCTCCCTCAGCCCTGGGCTCCCTGAAGGAAGGGGCTGCCCAGCCTTCCCGCCTCGGCCTGGGGCTCCCGGGAGGCCCTGAGCACGCCTCCCCCCCAGCCTCCCACAAGGAGGGAGCAGATGGGAGGCGGGGGGGACAGAGACCAAGCCCAGGCACTGGCCCTGAGAGGCGGAGGGCGGACGGCCCCGTCGGGCGGAACAGGCACTTTATCAGGGTTCGCCCTGTCCCTGGCTGCCCCCACGGGGCCCCTGGCCTGGCCACACGGTACAGACGCAGAGAACCAGAGCGGGGTGCAGGGCCGGTGCCCGGCGGACTGCAGGGAGGGGGGTCCGGAATGACCCCATCCCAGGCTCTCTGGGTGTCCGAGGGGCGTCTGTGTGCCCACACGGGCGGTGGTGCATGCTCAGAGGGAGGTTTTCCGAGGTCCCCTGCTGCCTGCCACCCCAGAGCCACCCCCAGGGCCCTGCAGGGACGCCCTGCCAGCACGCGATCTCACTACAAGGGGACAGGACCCAGCGACAGAGCCGTGAGCACGACCCCAGACCCACCAGCCAGGACCGGGGTGGCGCCTGGTCCAGCCCCAAAGCCCCCAGCCAAGGGCCGGAGCCCCCGCCCGGCTGGTCTCCTGTCTTCGGAGCAGAGAGGGGGGACGGACTTCCAAACGTGGACGGCCGTCCTGGACGTGGCTGGGGTCCGTGTCCCGCTCCGTCTCCTCCGCCTCCGGCCCCGAACCCGGCCTGCTGGGCCCCACGGCTCTCCGTCCCCATCACACCTCCTGCTGGGCGGCAGCCACGCTGTCGGCGGGGCTCTGGGCCGGGCCCTGGGCCCCCGGGACGGTCCCGCTGATGTTGCGGACGGCCCCGTAGGTCTGCTGCAGCTGCGGGGACAGGGCCGTGCGCTCGGAGGCCATGGCGTTCAGGATGTGGGGCACGTAGGGCTGCCGGCAGAGGGGGAGGGCGTGAGGGCTCAGCTGGGGGGGGGGGGGGGACGTGGCACCCCATTCCTCCTCCACTGGCCCCTCTCCTCCCAAGGACACATCAAGAAACACCACTGAGCCCTGGCCGGTGTGGCTCCGTGGATAGAGCACTGGCCTGAGGACGGAAGGGTCCCCGGGTTCGATTCCGGCCAAGGGCACATGCCCGGGTTGCGGGCTTGATCGCCAGTGGGGGTGTGCAGAAGGCAGCCGATCCATGATTCTCTATCGTCGTCGATGTTTCTCCCTCCCCCGCCCCCGCCCCTTCCTTCCTCTTGGAAATCAACAAAAATAAATAAATAGCCCTAACCGGTGTGGCTCAGCGGATAGAGCGTCGGCCTGCGTGCGGACTGAAGGGTCCCGGGTCCGATTCGGGTCAAGGGCATGTGCCTTGGGTGCGGGCACATCCCCAGTAGGAGGTGTGCAGGAGGCAGCTGGTCTGTTTCTCTCTCATCGATGTTTCTAACTCCCTATCCCTCTCCCAATTCCTCTCTGTGTAAAATCAATAAAATATATTAAAAAAAAAAAAAAAAAGGAGAGGAGAGGGGCCGCTTTCCCCCTTCCCCCCGCCCCCCCGCTTCCCCGCCCTGCAGGGGGCAGTGGTCACAGCTCTGGGGCCCGGTGTCCCAGCCCCACCCCAGGGGCAGGCGGACCCAGAGGAAAGGAGACTGTCCGGCCGGCACCCACGTTCACGGGCGGAGCTCCGGGGAGCCGGTCTGGGCGGTGGGGGGGAACCCCCCTGGCAGGCGCTGCTGGGACACCAGTGACCGGCTTCCCCAAACCACAGGGCCTGGCGGCCGGCCGAGCCGGCTCTCCGGCATGAAATATGCAGGGGAGGAAAGTGAGCCGGAAGCCGACACCCGGGGAGGGGCGGGCGTCCTGGCAGAAGGAACCGTCCCCGTGGGGGAGGCGGCCTCACAGCCAAGTTACAGCCCCAGAGGCACCGGGATGCCCTCCCAAGTGATGGAAATTCACCTGCCTGAGGTCACCTGATCCAGGGGCTTCTCTCTCTCTCTCTCTCTCTCTTTGATATATTTTATTGATTCTTTTATGGAGAGGAAGAGAGAGGGATAGAGAGCTAGAAACATCGATGAGAGAAACATCGACCAGCTGCCTCCTGCACACCCCCCACTGGGGATGTGACTGCAACCAAGGTACATGCCCTTGAGCGGAATCGAACCCGGGACCTTTCAGTCCGCAGGCCGACGCTCTGTCCACTGAGCCACACTGGTGTCGGCAGGGGGCTTCTTTCTCCACGAGATGATGGGAGGGTGCCTGCCGGGCCCACGGGGCTGGGTCCCCGGCCGGGGCTGGGTCCTGATGGGTGGGTGGGGGGCAGGACTTACCGTGTACGGAGGGGGCACGTGGGCCAGGGCCTCGCTTCCCTTGTCCTCGGCCGGCTCCTCAGTCTGCAGGAAACACAGAAACTCCCACGATAAGCAACCATTAGTGTCCAGAACAGCACCCTCCAAACAGGCGGACTATGAGGGACAGTGCCAGCTGGCACCTGGCTCCCAGCAACAGCCCCAGGGGGCATGGGGAGGGCGTGGGGACCAGGGATGGGGGTGGGGTGGGAAGTCTCATATTGCACCCAGCCACCCACGTCTTTGGGGGGGATCGGGGAAGGCGGGGGCTCAGTAAAACCTGGAGAAGCGCCGAAACCGGTTTGGCTCAGTGGATAGAGCGTCGGCCTGCGGACTGAGGGGTCCCAGGTTCGATTCCGGTCAAGGGCATGGACCTTGGTGGCGGGCACATCCCCAGTAGGGGGTGTGCAGGAGGCAGCTGACGGATGTTTCTAACTCTCATCGATGTTTCTAACTCTCTATCCCTCTCCCTTCCTCTCTGTGAAAAATCAATGAAATAAAAAATAAAATAAAATTTAAAAAAGCCTGGAGAAGGTCGTTGACGTGTGAGTGGGAAGAGGAGGAGGAGGAGGGGTGCAGGGCGAACCCACACCTCCTGGGCGCCCAGGCCCTGGCTGGGAGGGTAGGTGGGGGTCCTGGGGGGGCCCCTTTACCTTGTAGTTCAGAGGGCTGAGGTGCTTGAAGCAGCCGAAGCAGGTGTAGCCCAGGCAGACCAGGATGGTGAGCAGCAGGACCAGGAAGTTAAACAGGGTGGCGGGGGCCGTCCAGCCTGGGGACGGAGGGACGCGCCTCAGAGATGGAGGGGGGGTGGGGGGCGCTGCCTCATCTCCCTGAGGAGGGCCCCCCCCTGGGCAGGTGACTTACAGAGAAGGCTCCGCCCCCTCCCTGCCCTCAAGCAGCTGGGACCCCAGTGAGGGCATCGGCCAGCTGCCCGCTGGGTCGGGTCCCTGCAGCCTCTTGTCCGGTGAGGCGGGTGGAGGCCCCGCAGAGTCACATCTCTCCTGCCTTTTCCGTTTCCCCAAGAGCGTTGGGTTTGCTCCCCATGGTGAGGCGTGAGGGGTCGGGACCCGCCTCCCCATCTCCTCTGGCTCAGCCCCCCCGCATGGCAGATGGAGGACCATCCTCTCTCTCAGCTGCCTGGGGCCGTCCACCTGCCCTCCACCTGTTACTCGCTGGCTCAGGAGGTCAAGCTGCACCCAGCCAGCCCTCACCCCGGGGCCACATTCTGATTGGAGAACCAGCCAGTCTTCCCTGGGGACCACATTCTGATTGGATAACCACTTAGCCCTCACCCTGGATGCCACAATCTGATTGGATAGCCAGCCAACCCTCCCTGGGGGCCATATTCTGATTGGACACCCAGCCAACCTTCACCCTGGATGCCACACTCTAATTGGACACCCAGCTATCCCTCTCTGGGGGCCACATTCTGATTGGACACCCAGCCAGCCCTCCCTGAGGACCACATTCTGATTGGATAACCACTTAGCCCTCACCCTGGATGCCACATTCTGATTGGACGCCCAGCCAGCCCTCACCCTGGTGCCACATTCTGATTGGACGCCCAGCCAGCCCTCACCCTGGGTGCCACATTCTGATTGGACACCCAGCTATCCCTCTCTGGGGGCCACATTCTGATTGGACACCCAGCTATCCCTCTCTGGGGGCCACATTCTGATTGGACACCCAGCTATCCCTCTCTGGGGGCCACATTCTGATTGGACGCCCAGCCAGCCCTCCTGTGGGCCCTCACCCAGGCGCAGGAAGGAGAAGAAGAAGAGCCAGAAGAGGCACAGGATGGGGGCAGCCAGGGCCTGGTTCACAGCCGCGAAGTGGATCCTCTTCTCCAGCTTGGCGGGGAGGTAGGCGAAGTACAGGTTGTGCCGGTCCACCATGTGCTTGAGCAGGATGTAGATGAGGCCTGCGGGACAACATTTTTTGGTTTTTCGTTCATATATATATATATATATATATATATATATATACACACACACATATAATATTTTATTGATTTTTTAAAGAGAGGAAGGGAGAGGGATAGAGAGCTAGAAACATCGATAAGAGAGAAACATTGATCAGCTGCCTCTTGCACACCCCCCATTGGGGATGTGCCCACAACCAAGGTACATGCCCTTGACCAGAATCGAACCTGGGACCTTTCAGTCTGCAGGCCGACGTTCTATCCACTGAGCCAAACCGGTTTCGGCTATATATTTTTTTATTATTGACTTCAGAGAGAGAGAGAGAGAGAGAGAGGAACATCCACGATGAGAGAGAATCATGGATCGGCTGCCTCCTGCACGCCCCACACTGGGGATCGAGCCCCCAACCCAGGCCTGTGCCCTGACCGGGCATCGAACCCTGACCTCCTGGTTCCTAGGTTGACCAGGAACATTCTGATTGCAACTCCGTCACCGAGCCCCACTGGCCGGGCTGGTTTTGCTTGGTTTTCAGAGAGTAATCCTACACTTTAAAAATAGTGCAGGAGAGCAAACAGGGAAAAACTCCAACTTCCTCCTACCTCCCCCCCCCCCGCCCCCCTCTGGCCTCAGCTCGCTCTGCCAACCGGCTCCAGTGCTGGGTTTCCTTCTAGAGCCTTCTGCCTGGCGGCCCGTTCCCGGTGTTTTATTTTAGTTGCCAGACCCTGGCCTTTAACGCCAAACCGTTCCACGTTCAGACCCCTCACAGACAGACACCGAGGGCTTCATCTGGGAGGGGGGCAGAGCAGGGTCTGGCTGGTCGGACGGCCAGAGGGACGGCGTGGTCCCCCATGGGGGGTACAAAGGCGACGGCCAGAGGGACAGCAGGCAGGAGAACCTCGATCGTTACTGCCTCGGTGTGTTCAAGAGTCGGCCAGGCATAGAGCGGTCAGCCCCGCCCACATGGCTCAGTGGTGGAGCATCGACCTATGAACCAGGAGGTCGCTGGTTCGATTCCCGGTCAGGGCACATGCCCAGGTTGTGGGCTTGATCCCCAGTAGGGGGCTTGCAAGAGGCAGCCGATCAATGATTCCTTCATCATTGATGTTTCTCCCTCTCCCTCTCCCTTCTTCTCTCCAAAATCAATCAAAACATATTTTTTAAAAAATAAGCGTGTAGCTCAGCAGCTGAGTGTAGACCCAGGAACCAAGAGGTCACCGGTTCGATTCCCAGTCAGGGCATATGCCCAGGTTGCAGGCTCAAATCCCAGTGGGGCATGTACAGAAGGCAGCCAACCAACGATTCTCTCTCATCATGGATGTTTCTATCTCTCTCTCCCTCCCCTTTCCTCTCTGAAATCAATAAAAATATATTTAAAAAAAAATAAAAATAGCCGAAACCGGTTTGGCTCAGTGGATAGAGCGTCGGTCTGCGGACTGAAGGGTCCCGGGTTTGATTATGGTCAAGGGCATGGACCTTGGTTGCGGTCACATCCCCAGTGGGGGGGTGTGCAGGAGGCAGCTGGTCGATGTTTCTCTCTCATCGATGTTGCTAACTCTCTCTACCCCTCTCCCTTCCTCTCTGTGAAAACTCAATAACATATGTTAAATAAATAAATATGAAATTAAAATAAGAGTGAAGTGGTCAGCTGGCAGAGCAGCCCACACCAGAAGCACTGAGGGAGGCCACAGCTTGGAAGGCCAGGGGAGGGAATTCACGAGAAGTGAGTTAAACTTGGTGGCACCCGTGGCTCCCTAACAGCGTGCAGGGCCCCAGCATGCCCGGTGACGGCTGCCTCAGGGCGCCCGGCGGGGTCAGCCACCCGCCCACCCCAGACCGGCCGCGGGGCCGCTCACCGAAGGGCGCGATGATGGGGCAGGTGATGCTGTAGGCCATGATGACGGAGAACACGCACAGCATCCATGCGTACATGGCTCCGAACTCGAACTCGAAGGCCTGGTTCTGGATGGGGGCAGGGGGAGGGAGAGGAAGAGAGTGTTTCATATATTTTTCCTTTTTTTTTTTTTTTTAATTTTTTTTAATGTATTTTATTGATTTTTCTTACAGAGAGGAAAGGAGAGAGACAGAGAGCTAGAAACGTCGATGAGAGAGAAACATGGACCAGCTGCCTCTTGCACACCTGCTACCGGGGATGTGCCCGCATCCAAGGTACATGCCCTTGACCGGAATCGAACCCGGGACCTTTCAGTCCGCAGACCGACGCTCTATCCACTGAGCCAAACTGGTTTCGGCTGTTTTCTTTTGTTTTAAGTTTTGTATTTTGTAAGGGGGGGGGGGGGTGTGAAAAGCCCGTGGCTGAGTGCCGGCACCGAGCAGGCGGCCGGGGAAGTGGCCAGCGGCGGGGAAGCTGGTGGGGGAGCCCATGCCCCCGCCCCGCCGGCCGCACCTGCTTGACGTTGCGACGGTCGGCGGCGGTCTTGGCCATGACCATGCGCGCGGTGTAGAGGATGAGGCCCGGCAGCCGCAGCAGCTCCATGCCGGTGCCGATGAAGGCCGAGGCGATGACGTAGTTCACGAAGAAGGCGCCCTGGTCCGGCAGGAACACGCACCTGGGGGCCCGGGCGGGGAGGGGGGCGGGGGCGAGTCAGAGGAGCCGGGACCCAAGGCCCCAGGGGGGTACGGGTGCAGCACCCATGGGTGCCTGGCGAAACAGAGCCGCTGGCCCTGCCCTCACGGAGCTCATATCCCCGGGGGAGGGGGGAGGAGGAGGTGGACACCCACAGACACGCAAACACATGGGCGGGGGTCAGAGAGCCTTCCCGGGAAGGGGATGTGCACACAAGGTGGGGGCTGCCCTGGCTGGTGTGGCTCAGTGGATAGAGCATCAGCCTGGGGACTGAAGGGTCCCATGTTCGATTCCGGTCAAGGGCATGTACCTTGGTTGCGGGCACATTCCCAGTGGGGGGTGTGCAAGAGGCAGCTGATCAATGACTCTCTCTCATCGATGTTTCTAACTCTCTATCTCTCTCCCTTCCTCTCTGTACAAAAATCAATAAAAATATATTTAAAAAATAAAATAAATAAATAAAGTGGGTGTGGTGTGAGCTGGAAATACGAGCGAGGACCCCCACATCAGCCCTGAGCTGAGCTCCGTTCTCCTGGCTGAGGTAACGCACAGCCCAGACCGTCGCTCTGGCCGAACGTTAATTAAACGTTAATTATTTCTTCCCCTCCCTCCCCTGGCCTCCCGGGGCCCCGCAGCTCCTGCTCCCCGGAGGCTCGGGTCCCGGTAAATAAGTTTCAGAGACAGAATGAGGCTGTGGCTAATTGAGTCTCGGCCTACAAAGGGAGCCGCAGGTTTGCACAGCTCCCCAAACGGGCCAGCTCCCCAAACGGGCCAGCTCCCCAAGCAGGCAGCTCCCCAAACGGGCAGCTCCCCAAACAGACCAGCTCCCCAAACGGGCAGCTCCCCAAACGGGCAGCTCCCCAAACGGGCAGCTCCCCAAACGGACCAGCTCCCCAAACAGGCAGCTCCCCAAACGGGCCAGCTCCCCAAACGGGCCAGCTCCCCAAACGGGCCAGCTCCCCCGGGGTGGCCGAAGGCTCTGCCCCACGCCCCCTCCCGCCCCCCCAGCAGGAACCGGGTCGGGGAGCGGGGAAGGCCCAGCCCGTGGGCTCCGGGAGGAAGGGGACAGGTCCCGGGGCCGTGGCTCCATCCCCTCCTCGCGGCACATACTCACTCCAGCCGGATGGAGGTGTCCGGGGAGGACTTGTCAAAGAGCCACCGGAAGAAGAAGTCCAAGCTGGAAGACAAACAGATCCCGTCAGAATGGACTTCTAACCGCCTCGCGATCACCGCACAGACATCCCTGTTCTTCCAAAAACAGGCCGCATCTCCAGGTCCACGTGTGCCCTTGAAAATGCCACTGACGCCTGGCCGGTGTGGCGCAGTGGATAGTGTCGGCCTGCAGACTCAAGGGTCACGGGTTCCATTCCAGCCAAGGGCACATGCCTGGGTTGCAGGCTCCATCCCCAGGAGAGGGGGCGTGCAGGAGGCAGCCGATCAATGATTCCCTCTCCCTCTGCCTTCCTCTCTGAAATCAATGAAAACATTGAATATATATACATAAAAACAAAGTGAGAAACAAGCATAGTTACACTTTCTTTTTTTAATTGATTTTTCTTACAGAGAGGAAGGGAGAGGGAGAGAGAGCTAGAAATGTCGATGAGAGAGAAACATCGACCAGCTGCCTCCTGCACACCCCCTACCGGGGATGTGCCCGCAACCGAGGTACATGCCCTTGACCGGAATCGAACCTGGGACCTTTCAGTCCGCAGGCCGACGCTCTACGGCTGAGCCAAACCGGTTTCGGCAGCATAATTATACTTTTTAAAAAGGTTTCCAGCCCTGACTGGTGTGGCTCAGTGGATAGAGCCTCGGCCTGTGGACTGAAGGGTCCCGGGTTTGATTCCGGTCAAGGGGCTTGTACCTTGGTTGCGGGCACATCCCCGGTAAGAGGTGTGCAGGAGGCAGCTGATCCACGTTTCTCTCTCATCGATGTTTCTAACTCTCTGTCCCTCTCTTCCTCTCTGTAAAAAAATCAACAAAATATATATATATATATTTTTTTTTTTTTTAAATCAATAAAATACTTTTTTTTTTTTTTTTAAAGTTCCCATTCTCCGAGGGACAGTCCTCTCCAGCTACGCCCCGGACTCCGCATGGCGAGCAGGGGGCCCCGGTACCTGGTGAGGCCGAGCGAGGGCAGGATCAGCACCATGAAGATGAGGAAGATGTAGATCTTGGTCATCATGATCCGGTTCTCCCCGGACCTGCAGGGGGGGGGGTCAGGCGTGAGCTCCTCCCGGGCCCGGGTCCCAGGGCCCCAGGCCGCCCTGTGCCCGCCGCCCGGCCCTCACTTGGTCCAGTGGGACTCCAGCAGCGTGGAGTAGTAGACGATGGACGGCAGCAGCGCGGAGAAGGACCAGAGGAGCAGGGTCGGGAAGAACTGGCTGATGACGGGGTCCTGGAAAACAGGGCCCACGGCACGGAGGGGTGAGGGCGGGGAGGGGGCGGGGAGACCACGGCCTCCTGGCACGGAGGCCCAGGGAACTCCGGGGCTGGGGGCTGGTCCTCCTGACGCGCTATCCACTGAGCCACACCGGTTTTGGCTCTCGCTCTATTTTTATGTATCTATTGATCTCGTATGTTTGTATTTATTTCAGAGAGGAAAGCAGAGGGAGCCGAAACCGGTGTGGCTCAGTGGATAGAGCGCCGGTCTGCGGACTGAAAGGTCCCAGGTTCGATTCCGGTCAAGGGCATGGACCTGGGTTGCGGGCACATCCCCAGTAGGGGATGTGCAAGAGGCAGCTGATCGATGTTTCTCTCTCATCAATGTTTCTAGCTCTCTATCCCTCTCCCTTCCTCTCTGTAAAAAAAAAAAAAAAATCAATAAAATATATTTTAAAAAGCCGGGACCGGTTTGGCTCAATGGATAGAGCGTCGGCTTGGGGACTGAAGGGTCCCGGGTTCGATTCCGGTCAAGGGCATGTACCTTGGTTGCGGGCACATCCCCGGTAGGGGGTGTGCAAGAGGCAGCTGATCGATGACTCTCTCTCATCGATGTTTCTAACTCTGTATCTCTCTCCCTTCCTCTCTATACAAAATCAATAAAATATATTAATATATATATATATATATATATATATATATATATATATTTTTTTTTTTTTTTTTTTTTTTAAAGAAAGAATGAAAGCAGAAGGAGAGGAGAGAGAATCATGGATGGGCTGTTTCCTGCACACCCCCTACTGGGGATCATGAGAGCAACCCAGGCACATGCCCTTGACCAGAATCGAACCCGGGCACGTGCCCTTGACCAGAATTGAACCCGGGCACGTGCCCTTGACCAGAACTCCCCAGAACCAACGCTGTCCCTGGCACAGGGCCCCCCCCCGATCCTCCCCCGCACCAGCCCCCCCCCCCCCCCCGCCCCGGATGGGCCCTGGCAGGATGCTCAGGACTCACGTTGAGCGCGTGGATGGGCTTGGTGACGTTGAACTTGTCCATGGTGGAGAGGATGATGGAGGGCGTGGTCAGGAAGAAGAGCACCACGAAGAGGACGAAGTTGATGCCCACCCACTGGAGCCACCAGCGGGAGCCCTGGACGGAGAGGTTCTTCCTGCCGAGGAGAGGGCACGGCCCTGAGGCTCGCCTCCTGGACCGGCCACCAGCCCCGCCCACCGCGCCCCCGGCCCAGGGGGGGTCGGAGAGCCAGGGGCTCCTCACGGCGACCTGGGCGCTGACCTTCAGCCACTGGAAGGTCAAAGTTGGGGCCTGCCGAAGCCGGTGTGGCTCAGTGGATAGAGCGTCAGCCTGCAGACTGAAAGGTCCCGAGTTCGATTCCGGTCAAGGGCATGTATGTTGGTTGTGGGCACATCCCCAGTAGGGGGTGTGCAAGAGGCAGCTGGTCAGTGTTTCTCTCTCATCAACGTTTCTAGCTCTCTATCCCTCTCCCTTCCTCTCTGTAAAAAAATCAATAAAATATATTTTTTAAAATAAATAAATTAAAATAAAATAAAATAAAAAAGGTTGGGACCTTAGGAGCTCAGAGGAAATGGAACTTGTTCTCCACTAACTGCTGAATGGATAATTTTTTATTTTTTTTTAATATATATATATTTTATTGATTTTTTTTTTTTTTTTTTTTTTTTTTTTTACAGAGAGGAAGGGAGAGGGATAGAGGGTTAGAAACATCCCTGAGAGAGGAACATGGATCAGCTGCCTCTTGCACACACACTACTGGGGATGTGCCCGCAACCAACGTACATGCCCTTGATCGGAATCGAACCCGGGACCCACTGAGCCAAACCTGGTTTCGCCTAACATTTTTTTTTTTAATATATTTTATTGGGCCCTGGCCGGTGGCTCAGCTGGTTGGAGTATTGTCCCGTACATTGGAGGGCCGCAGGTTCGATTCCAGGTCAGGGCACGTACCCAGGTCTCTGGTTCAGGGAATGTGTGGGAGGCAATGTATCTATGTTTCTCTCTCACATTCATGCTTCTCCATCTCTCTCCCTCTCCCTTCGTTTCTAACATCAATAAAATATATTTCATTGATTTTTTTTTTAAAGAGAGGAAGGGAGAGGGATAGAGAGTTAGAAACATCGATGAGAGAGGAACATCGATCAGCTGCCTCCTGCACACCCCCTACTGGGGATGTGCCCGCAACCAAGGCACATGCCCTTGACCGGAATCGAACCCGGGACCCTTCAGTCCGGAGGCTGACGCTCTATCCACTGAGCCACACCAGTTTTGGCACAGGTAATATTTTAGTATCTACAGAGAGGTCGATACTATTAGGAAAATTAATTTCCACTTGTTTATTTTTTTTTAACTCTTTCAATGGGCCCCCAGGCTAAGGTTGCCCTGTCAGAGACAGGAGCCACGGACATGTGCGGCTCCTGAGCCCGGGGCCATGGCCCCGGTGGCTGGGGGCTCACCAGCAGATGTCCTCGGGGTAGGTGGCAAAGGTGACCGTCCACTGGGAGATGCAGAGCTCCCGGCTGCAGGAGGACGGCTGGGGCTCCCCTTGGCACCGCAGGCCCTGGCACTTGCAGGCGTTGAAGTCCTTCAGGATGCTGCGGGGAAGGCAGGCGTGTCAGGGCCCAAGCCACCCGGGGCCGGGCACACGCCCAGCACACGGGGGGGAGGGGAGGGCGAGACAGAATGGGGCTTGGCTTTATGTCTATTGGTTTATCATAATGAATGCAGGACCCTGGCTTTTTAGTACGGATTTTTTTTATTATAATTGACTAGAGGGCCGGTGCACAAAGATTCATGCAAGAATGGGCCTTCCGCCAAAACCGGTGTGGCTCAGTGGATAGAGCATCGGCCTGCGGACTGAAAGGTCCTGGGTTCGATTCCGGTCAAGGGAATGTACCTTGGTTGTGAGCACATCCCCATTAGAGGGTGTGCAGGAGGCAGCTGATGGATGTTTCTCATCGATATTTCTAGCTAACTATCCCTCTCTCCTCCTCTCTGTAAAAAATCAATTCAAAATATTAAAAAAAATATATATATGGGCCTTCCTTCCCCTGGCTGCTGGCACAGCCTTCGCTCCAGCCTGGACACCCCTTTCCGCCTTCCCACACTGTCCAGAGGCCTGGAGCAACTGGGGGAGGGGGCCCGGGGGGGTGCAGAACACCTGTGTCCTACCCTTAGCCACTTGGCACCTGTATATGCAAATTAAACTGCCATCTTTGGTGGGTTAATTTGCATACTCACTCCTGATTGGCTGCTGGGTGTCGCGAAGGTACGGTCAATTAGCATGTTACTCTTTTATTAGTGTAGATGCCACGAGAGAGACAACATGCGTGGCCCGCTCTGTGGAGGGTTTTGTTTCATCCTCAGAACAGCCCTGCGAGCCAAGGGTTATTATTCCTATTTTACAGATGAGGAAACTGAGGCTCTCCGATCAGGTTCTGTCTGGCTCCGGTTCCCAGCTGTTTGCACTGCCCCCCTCCAACCCCCGCCGGGATCCTGCTGCCAGTGGCTTCACCCTTCAAGGCTCTCTCACTCTCTCCCCAGGCCCCAGCGTCACTATCAGACCACAGCACACGAGGCGTCTCCCGTTCTGGTTGAAGATTTCCCTCCCTCGGACCCCCCACCCCCACCCTCACCAGCGCCTCCTCGTTCCCCCTCTGTCTCCCATCAAGTGCCCATCTCAGGCTCGGGTGAGCTTTCTGAGCCAGACCGCAGGCAGTCGGAGGCGTGTTTACGTAAACCCCCTCCCCCAGGGCCAGGCTGCCTGCAGCCGTGAGCGCCCGAGTGCCTCTTTGTAGGAAGATGGGGAGCCCGTGCACAGAGGCAGGATCTGGGGTGCAGAGTGGCCATCGGAAGGAGGATGGCATCCCGCTGGTGGGATGCTGGAATGCAGAGCCGATGCCAAGAGCCAAAGGACCCCTGAGGCTGCCGGGTAAGCCACACCCAAGAGAGGGTCTCAGTGAGAGTCCCCTGAGCCCCCTGTCCCACAGCCTGGGCCCCCCAGGGGGGTAAGCATGGTGGTGCCTCCCAACCCAGCCCTGGGGAGGCAGATGGATCCGTCACTGGCAGACCCCAGGGATGGGACTGGGTGGTACCATCTCTCCTCAAGAGGGCCGGCTGGCGGGGCATCTGGACGGGGCCCAGGGGCCAGGCGGCCGGCCGGCGGACACTCACTAGGTGGCCATGGACTTCTCCTGGAAGGTGACGAAGGCCATGCCCAGCGGCTGGAACTGGACCCGGGACTCCTCCTCCGTGATCCGCTCCATCAGCCGCTCCTTCAGGCCGGTGTAGTAGGAGATGGCGTCCTCCTGGCGAGGACACGTCCCCGTGAGGCCGGGCCCCTGTGTGCGGGGGCCGGGGAGGGGGGCCGGGGAGGGGGGCCGGGGAGGGAGGTCGGGGAGGGGGGCTGGGGAGCGGGCCGGGGCCTCACCCGCTCGCAGCCCTGCACCTCGAAGCAGCAGAACTGGCCGCAGGGCCTGGGGTTGATGAGGGCCCGCTGGCCTGTCTTCAGCTGCAGGTTTGAGTAATAGGTGAGGCTCTTCTCCGTCTTCTTCCTGCGGGAGGGGGGGGGGGGCGTCAGACCCACAGTCCTCAGCACGGCCCGTCTCCCCCACTCAGCCCTCGGGCACCCCGAGCGGGGCCCGGCCTCTGAGCACGCCGGGGGCCATCAGGGAAGGAGGGTGGGCGCCTCCGAGGGGAGGGTCAGAAGGCGCAGGCCTGCTCGCCCGTGCATACCTGCTTCCCCCTCCACACACACACACACACACATACACACGTGCATGCACACATGCTCTCCCGTGCATAATCGCTTCCCCGTGCATGCACACCCTCTTACACACACACACACACACACACACACACACACACACACGTGCACACCCGCTTGGTTGTGCAAAATCGCTTCCCTGTGCGTGCACACCCACTTACACACACACACACACACATGCACACCCGCTTGCTTGTGCAAAATCGCTTCCCTGTGCGTGCACACCCACTTACAGACACACACACACACACACACACACACACACACACACGTGCATGCAAACCTGCTCACCTGCACACAACCATTTCCCTGTGCATACACGCCCACTCATCCATGCACTCTCGTTTCCCCGTGCGTGCACACCCACTTATACACACACACACACACACACACACACACACACACACACGTGTGCAGGGCCCCGTACCTCTCCTTGCACAGGTAGATGAGCTTGGCCACGTTGTAGCACAGCTGGACCTCCACCACCTCGCACGTGGGGTACGCGTCCCTGCGCCCGGGGCGGGCCGGAGGCAAAGGATGGCGTTGGACAGGGGTCCCCCAGGCAGGCAGGGGGACCCCATCTCCGAGGGCCGCACGGCCATCTCGCCGCCCGCCCCGAGTGCGGTCCCCCCGGGAAGGGCCCGGCCCCTGGCCCGCCCCGCTCACCGGAAGTGGCTCTCCACCGCGTCCCTGGTGGCCAGCCTGGGCAGCCCCGTGACGAAGAGGGTCCGCCGCACCTGCCGGGGAGACGCCGGAGGGAAAGGTCAGCGAGACGAGCTGGATCGCAACTGCCGGTCCTAGCCGCAGATCCAAGGGCTGGGGGGCCCCTAAGCCCTCCGCCCTCCAGCCTGAGGCTCACCAGGCTCTCGTCCTTGCACTTGATGGACTGGGTGTGATGCCGCATGAAGCCCAGGGTGAGGAACAAGTAGCCGACGGCGCAGACGGTGTGCAGCCAGAGCAGGTCGTTGCTGGGGGACACGGCCTGCGGTCAGCGGGGGGCGGGGGGACCCCAGGCGGGGCCGGGGCGCAGGGGCTGGGCCACCGTATGGCCCTGAGCACAGGGACAGCGACGTCCTCACCAGAGGCTGGGGGGCCAGCCCCCCTTAGAGAGAGGCCCCCTGGTTTCCTACAGCCCCTCAGAACAGCAGCTGCGAACGGGGTGTCCATGCCCAGAGCCCAGCCATTCGCTGGGGGGGGGGGGCTTCGGGGCATCTGTCCGCCCCTTTGGGGCCCCTCTCTCCGACGACGCTGGGCTCCAGATCCCGCCCGCTCCCCGCCCTCGCCCACCGGCACCCCCAGACCCGTCCCCCCCACACACACACACTCACTTGGTCTGCAGGTTCGCGATCGTGGTCCTCCCGAAGCTGTAAGCATCTTTCTCTGCGGAACAGCACGGGGACTGAGAGCCAGCCGCGGGAGGGCGGCTCGGAGGAAGGGGCCGGGGCCCAGAGCTGCCCCATCTTTCCCGGTCACCCCGACACGGCTCTGCATCAGCCCCAGAGGCTCCCTTCCTCTCTGACATCCATAAAAATATCTTTAAAAAAGAGCCCTGGCCGAAACCAGAGTGGCTCAGTGGACAGAGCTTCGGCCTACAGACTGAAGGGTCCCTGGTTCGATTCCTGGCCAAGGGCACAGGCCCCGGTTGCAGAGCTTGATCCCCAGTAGGGGGCGTGCAGGAGGCAGCCGATCCAGGATTCTCGCTCATCATGGATGTTTTTTTCTCTCTCTCCCCCTCCCTTCCTCTCTGGCATCCATAAAATATATTTTTTTAAAAAGAAGAAGGCTGAAACTGGTTTGGCTCAGTGGATAGAACACCGGCCTTCGGACTGTAAGGTCCTGGGTTCGATTCCGGTCAGGGGCATGTGCCTTGGTTGCAGGCTTGATCCCCAGTGGGGGACGTGCAGGAGGCAGCCGATTCAGGATTCTCTCTCATCCCTGATGTTTCTCTCTCTCTCTCTCTCTCTCTCTCTCTCTCTCTCTCCCTCTCCCTTCCTCTCTGACATCAAGAAAATATCTTTTTAAAAAAGAAGGACAGTTACCCAGCAGGTTGCCCGAGAGGTTGACGGGCAGGATGACGCACAGGGACGTGAAGCTGACCCCGGCCAGCAGGAAGATGATGTGCCTCTGGAAGGACAGGTAGTGGATGGCATCCTCACCGCACCACTCCAGGATCTGGTCGTCGCTGCTCGAGACACAGACACGGGGCCGGGATGAGCCGCAGCCGCGGGCCGGCCCTCGGGGCCCTGCACGGAGGGTCTCCTTTCTCCCCTCCCGGCCTCCCCTCAAGGGAGGGTGGAATTCGTCCCCGTTTCTCAGCACAGCGGGAAACAGGGGTCCGGAGAGAAGCTGCGTGGCCCTAGCTGGCGTGGCTCGACACGGTGGTCGGCAAACTCACTAGCCAGCAGAGCCAAACAGCCACAGGACAACGACGGACATGTCTTCGGAGAGCCACATTTTTTAAGCTTAAACTTCTTCTAACGCCACTTCTTCCACACAGACTCGCCCAGGCCGTGGTGTTTTGTGGAAGAGCCACCCTCAAGGGGCCAAAGAGCCGCATGTGGTTCGCGAGCCGCAATCTGCAG